GTCTCTCTTAATTAGTTTTGGTTTGAAATCTACTTTGTCTACAAATAAGATTGCTACCCTTGCTTTTTTCTGGGTTCCTGTCACGTGGACAGCAATTTTCCATCCTTTTACTTTCAGTCTTTGTGTGTTTCTTGTATACAGCATATTACTGGATTTTGCTTCTTAATCCATTCTGTCAGTCTACTTCTTTTGATTGGTGAATTGAGGCCATTAACATCGATCGTTATAACTGACAGTTATTGACTCATACTTGTCATGAGGTTTCACTGTTGTTGGCTCTTATTCATTTTTCCCCCTTTCCCTTTAATTTCTTACCTGCCTGGTGGCTTCCCTCTGTTGAACCTCATGGAGTTGTGACCTTCATTGCCTTTTCCTAGGATATTTCCTAGAATTGTTTGGAGTACTGGTTTGGTGTTCATGAAATTTCTCAGGTGTTCTTTGTCATGGAAGTATCTAACTACCACATCAATTTTGAAAGATAATTTTGCAGGATATAACAGTCTAGGTTGGAAGTTATTTTCTTTTAGGGCTCAAAACACTTGACTCCAGTCCCTCCTTGAGTTGAAGGTTTGTGTTGAGAAGTCTGCCGTGATTCTGATGGGCTTTCCTTTAAAGGTGATTTGTTTCTTCTCTCTAACTGCCTATAGGATTTTATCCTTCTGTTGGGTTTCTGGGACCTTGACTATTATATGTCTAGGTGTAGATTTTTTTTGATCATGGCTAGGTGGAGTTCTATATGCCTCACTTATCTGTATGTCCAATTCTCTACCTCTGTCTGGGAAGTTTTCTATTATTATTTCTGTGAACAGTTTTTTATGTCAATTGTACTTTCTCCTGTTTTTTCGTGGACTCCTATCATTCTTACGTTTTTCTTCTTTTTTTTTCATCTAGCAGCTGCTTAATTGATTTCTCATGGTCCCTTACTATTTTTAAGAAATCTCTGTTTTAATGGTCCCTCACCACAATCCTGTCTTCAATATCTGATATTCTATCTTCAGATTCTCTTAATCTGCTCTGCATGCTTTCAATGGAGTTTTTAATCTCGTGAATATCTGTTTGGATCTGTTTCATGGATTCCATTTCTTTCTTTGTTGGGCGATCATGGTTTCCATTTCTTTCTTATGCTGGGCATTCATGGCTTCCAGCATGCTTCTGAGCTCATCTATTTTTCTATCTGTTTCTGTTCTAGAGCCTCTAATAATGTCTTTCACTCTGCTTGCCATCTCTGTAGTTATCTGGGAGATTATTTTTCTTTGAATTTTTCTAGAGGCTCATTCATCTGTTTTGTTACTTCCTGTGCTATCAGTTCAGGGTGTCCAGACTTTTCCACCTCATTTCCTCCAGAATTTGCCTTTTGGCGGGGAGGAAGTCTGAGTTTGTAACTTGCTTAAACGTCTTCTCATTTTTGTTTTTCTTACTGTCCTTTTTTTAGTTCCTGGGTTGATATTTTGAAGTTGCTTCTTGTATCTTTGTTGATGTATTTTGAACCCTTATGGAATGATTGCTTCTCAGAGGTGTCTTTCAGATATAGCTGGTCTTTAGGTTTTGAGTCTCTAATGGCTCTGATGCTATCTCATTTTCATTTTACCAGGAAGGACAACTGATTAGATCAATCACACACCTTAGCCCAAGTGATACAATCAGCAACACCATAGCATCAAATACATCATTAGAGAATGACAATTTGTGGTAGTTATTAATCTATCACCTTTAAAAATGAAGGGCCTCCTTCAGGGTATGTCTCTGCTGTCACAATAGACAACATGGGCCACAGTTTGCAGTTATAAGTCAATGAGTCTCAGTAAGCTAGTCCCAGACCCGTGAGATTCAGGCAGATTTCTGGCTGCAAGTCCCAAGATGAGCTCCCTGTCCTACTGCATAGTTGCACTCTGCAAGGTTCTATTGCAGGTTCCAGCTGCCTTTCCCCTGAAGAAAGTCCAGGTTCCGATGGGAGCTAATGATCCCTCCAACTTACCAAGCACAGTGCTCAGGTGTGCCTTTATTGCAGAGTTTCTCTTCACTTTTCCAGTGGGCTTGTTTTCATTATGGAGCCTGAGAGAGGCCCTCTCTCTGTTGTTCACTTCTGCAGCTCAGGACAACGGCTTTTATATGCCCCTGTGCCTCTGCAGTATGGAACCAAGTAGCTGCACAGCCAGAAGGTCAGGGGGGGGGGCATTGTTGGAGGTGCCCTCGAGGGCAAGCTGGGGCTGGTGGGCATGCACAGGGGGGTCCTCCTCACCCTGTCTTGGTCGCAAGCCTGTCTTGGTATCAAGCCTGTCTTGGTCGCAAGCCTGTCTTGGTCGCAAGCTGGTAGAGCAAGCCAGAGGAAGCAGGTTCCAGTCAGGCTGCAACCGCTCAGCCCCACTCAGCCCCCTAGGCGAAGATTTTTAAAAAGAAAAATCTGACAAATTGAACTTTAACAAAATTATTATTTTTCATCTTTCTAACTGGTAGGAAATTTTGCAATTCATATTTATGATAAAGGAATTTAATTTAGAATGAAGACCATCCAATATGTAAAAATTACCAAAAAAATTATAAAATAGGAAAAAGACATGTTTAGATACATTACCAAAGAAGATGCATGAATAGCAAATGAAATTACTACATGAAAAGATGCTCAACAGCAGTAGTTATCAGAAAAATGAAAATGAAAATCAGTGAGACACCACTGGACACCTACTAGAATGTCTAAAATTAAAAAGAATGACCATGCCAAGTAATAATGAGGGTGTGGAGCAACCTGGAACCTCATAGCTTGGTTGTGTGAATGTAAAATGGTGCAGCAACTTTAGAAAACAGTTTAGCAGTTTATATAATATTCTAAATATGCCCCAATATATGACTCAGACACTCCATTCCTAAATAGTATTTGAGTTTGTCTATGGGATGTATCTGGCCATAAGAGGAGAAAAGTCCCTGTGATGAAGGATGAGGAAGGGAGAAGCTTAGACTTCTTGTGGAAACTGAGGTAAGTAGGGAGGGAGATCGTGATAGGCATAGCCCTGCTGCTCTTCAAAGGAGGGGGATTATAACCTCTAATTGGAGTCTTGTCTTGGATCTGATCTTTTAAGCAGTTCACATTAGTAAGAAAGTAGTGTCCAGGTAGGGACCAATGGTGGTCTCACTAGTAGCACTTAAAGCTCATCAAAACCAGGGATGGGACAGCGTGTCTTTTCCTTAAATCCTACTGAAGACAGATGCATGGGTAATAAAATGTGCATACCTTTACCCATGGTACCTCTCCTGACATTTTGGCACAGGTCAAACGCATTGTGACACTACTTCAAATTTCAGATCTCTACTATTCCACTTTGCATTTCTATATGAGGGATCACTGGATCTGTTCCACCATCACCTGGGCAGGTTATGCAAACTGGAATATACAATCTCAAGCCCTGCCTGCCTCAACATACCATGCCAAAGTCCTACTATGCTGTGAGTGTCCCACAGAGGCTCAGCACCTTTTCTGAGGCTGTTCCTTTTAGGAGTCTAGAAGTGAGGAATGCAGGGCTTTGGTCTCTTCTGTTCTTAGATTTTCAGTCATATTGGGAACTGCAAGTACACTCACCCAAAGAGGCAAGTCCCTCAGGCCTCCCTCCCTCTCTCTCTCTCTCTCTCTCTCTCTCTCTCTCCCTTCCCTTTTTTATTCTTCTAGAAAATGACTTTTATACCCTCTACAGTTTTAAATCCATTATCATTCATCAATCTTTGGTGGTCTTCCTAGTCAATGACTTTTGAAATTCAAAACAAACCATTTGATCTCTTTTAAGAACTTATCTTGTTGACTCAGAACTTTTTTCAGACCCTATTTTGAAAGTCAAAGTACAAGATAGATTCTTCTTTTGGGCTTGCTCCTGCCAATCTCTTAGCAGCAATAGATATCTAATGCAACATAAAGAGAAGAATAAAGCAGCAAAAATCTCCCAAAATTAAAATTAAAATTAAAAATTCACAATATGAGCCTTTTATTTTACTATTGTCATGTGGATTAAATAGAGCCCGAGCTGAAGCTAGGACTGGAAAGTCAACTGTCCCAGATCTATGAGGTCACAGCTGAGGTCACAGAGTGCTGAGACAGGAAGGTGATGTCGGGGCAGGATACTGCTGTGAGATGGGCTCAGTGAGGGGAAAGCCTTAGAGGGTCAAGGGTCAACCCAAGTGTGATCTGGGGAGCCCAGACGGGTAAGTTGACTTGGTTCCTGATTGGGACTTAGAAGTGAGGAAGCATGGAGTAGGAAGCTTGGTAGGGAAACTTCCCAAAGGAAGATTTGTCTCTTATTTGGGTCATTGTTCAAACTTTCAATCACATGTGCTTTTGACAGAATCAACTACAGGGTTTCCATATCCCTTTATGAGGAACTTGAAGGCTGGAGCTGACTGACCTTCAATCTGTAGTCCCATCCTTAGTAGACTGTGAAGATGCTGACTGTGAGATGGGATCTTCAATTCAGTATCCACTACTTCCTATCCTTGCCGCTGAGTCCAAGAGCCTCTGGTCAACTCTTTCCCCAAATCTTATATACATTTTTTGCTTATTAAGGAGATTTTACTTAAGACAAATACTCTCACCCCTACCTTTCTTTATACATATGTACACACACACACACACACACACACACACACACACACACACAGTGACCCATTCAAAACACAGATGCCCAGGACAGAATTACCTGTCCATTGGGGAAGTATTTTTCTTCACTCTGTACACCTGTTTTCTCCCCTTATTTATTCCTCCCCAGGGCCTGAAGCTATTTCCACCTTCAGTTCCAGAGTCCTTGGTTTTGTGCAAGAGCAAATGGCACAGCATCCTCACCAGGACCAAGAACAAAAGGCAAGCATGACATCCGTGCAACAGAGAAGGTGAGTGGGGCTAATTATAACCCTCAAGAAAGCTTACACAGGTATTTTCTGCAGGAGAACTATGGTCACCTGTCTCCCTTCTCTTCATCCTGAAGCATTTATTTCCTGGGTGGGATACATGGGGACTTTCATGTGTTTCCTCTTTTCTCTATTTCTTCAGTGGAAGGGGCAATAGCAAGTCTTTTACATTGTGACTTTGAAGACAAGCATCAGTTGCAATTCCTCTAGGGGTTAGTTGGCTGATACATCCTAGGAACACTTACTCATTTTAGGGCAACTTTCTTTAAATCCTTCATGTCCTCTAAAATGTGAATTACAACCAGCCATCCAAAACCATACCTCATTGGAACAGGATTGTAAAGAGACCCAGAAACAATTGCTTGAGGTCTATTATGAGATCCAGCAACATTGGCCATTAAGTCAGACAAAAAAGAGGATTTCTATGAGCTTACAGGTCAGGAAAGCTTCAGAAAATAATGAGAACTTGGATTAAGCCTTTGAGGTATGTAGCAGATGTTCTGACATAAGGGTCTTACGAATTAGGGAAAGAGAGGGTTTAAAGTGTCTTCTAAGTTTCTTGGATGAGAATCTTATTTAAATGCTCAGAATGATTAACTGGGCCTCAAGCCTAAGAACCAGTAAGGAATAGAGAAGCCTGAAGCTTGGTAAACAATAGGAACCTGCCTTAAGAGTATAAATTGTCTTGTAGACAGCTGCAGGACTCTGAAGACAAAATAGTGAGTAAATACTGCACTCACAGTTCTGTGTGAAAAGGCATATAAACTATACCACAGCCCCAACTTCTTTGCTGATGAACAGATGGTTTTTACAGTGTAAGTGGGCAAGGCCGTAAAAATAGCACTAAAGCCAACAATGTTTAAAGTGAACTTAGTTATAAAGGCTTTCATATAATCTTCCCCTGAAACCCTTAGGATAAAGATTATTCTTGTTTTAGAGAGAAGGAAACAGATTTATACAAACAAAAGACTTGCCAAAAGTCCTAGAACTTAAGCTGCACGTCTGTGTATTACTTTGCAGAGTGTGACACCACATCTTTTCCACCAGGATTTACTCTTTCATTCTTAATTCTTTTTTGAAAAATCTTAAATAATTTAACATTCCTTAATATCCTCTTAATAGTGTCAAATCTGGGGTAGATTTGGAGGGATTTTTCCCTTCAAAAGGACTTCATTTTTGCTATACTTTAATCACTTTTACAAATTCAGTTATCATCAATAAATTTAAATTCTTGGCCTCCTATGTCAGCACTGAAGTGGTGGGGTTATAATATTAAAACCTACTACTCTTTTCCCTTTTTAACATATAACTGCTGTGCTTTTGATAAAAAGGTTTTGTTAGAAAAAAATATGAAAGACTCTTGATCATGGTATCTCCCCTGCCAGGTAAGTATATATGAAAGACTCTTAAACCAAAGCCAGTTATGAGTATGAGTATTTTCTCCTATTGGTTTACCTTCACCTCAGAATTATAAGAACATCTGGGGCTGGGAATTTAGCTCATTGGTTCTGGCGCCTGCCTTGCAAGCGCAAGGTCCAGAGTTCGATCCCCAGTACCAAAAAAAAAAAAGAATTATAAGAACATCACAATATACAGTGAATCATTGTCTATAATATTTCTATCCATTGTTTCAATTGGTCTTGGCATTTCTTGATACTATGGTTCTATGTTCTTTGTGATGTCTTATTGTTTGTGAGGGTTTTTTTTTTAATCACTAAGTGGGGCTATAAATAAAGATGTGTGTCAGTAGCAACAAGTTGTTTTCAGATCTCTGATTTCCATTTAATTCTGATTTCCATTTAAGTATTTTAAACTTGTTTTTTCTTGCTGAGTTGCAAAGGACTTTTATTTCACTTTCCTATATACTTAAAAGTATGAACACTACATTTCAATGGACTGTATTGCATACTTTATGCTGAGAACTTTTTCTGTGAACACAATTGCCTTGTTCAGTTTTGTTGTAAACTGACTTACCATAAGATGCACTGTTGACATGCTTTCTGATTTGTGTTTGACAAGAGTGACAAAATAAAACTTAAAAATAAACAATCCTAGAACTGAAACATCTTGAGGCTGGAATTCAAACCCTTCTATCCCTAATATCCCAAATTCTTACCAAAATGCAGTCTTCCAGTAACTCAGCTATAAAACAACTGGGGCACAATAACTTGTGCTTTTTGGCCCAAAATAGATTGGAATCAATCACATTTGAATTGGAATGCAACCATTCCCATTACTGTTACTAAGCATATCACAGCCTTGGTTTCCTGCACAACAGAGTCAGACACCCGCACCTCCATCACAGGACCATCTGCAGATGAAATGTGTGGGGGTCAAAGCACCCATAGCACCTGGTTCATGAAGGCTCAATCATCTTCTGGCTCAATTTGAGGAGATAAATCACTGGAATTGTATTGTAAAATCTCTCTCTCTCCTCTCTCTCTCTCTGTCTCTCCCTTTCTCCATCCTTCCTCTCTTCCTCCCTCCATCCTCGTTTCCCTCCTTCCTAACACACACACACACACACACACACACACACACCCCTAAACCTTTATTCTGATGTTCTTACTCAGGATGGCAATTATTCACCACCTCTGTTTGCACAAGATAGACTAAAACTCAGCCTGGAGGAGAAAGCTCCAGATGATCCCCAGTTCTGCTTTATTTTCTCTCCTCTCCACACTCCCCAAATTGGGTAGATGGAACCTGTGGTAGAAAGAATCTTCAGAGTAATAGTGTTTTTAGGATAAAGAACATAGCTTAGATTGGAGTGAGAAATGGTTGCCTCCAGGTTCCATGAAGAAAGAATCCTCTAGCTAGCAGAGCTCTGTACATGAGTCATCTTGATGTGATGGCTCCAAGGGAGATTTCTGTCCTGTGTTTTACTTTCCTGAATAAATGTTTATCTAGAGACCTCTTTGACTGGAGATCTGTTGACCTCGAGGTCCTCTTGGGCTCAGTTATTGCTCTCTTCCGTGTCCGCAGACTTACTGGGGTTACAGGACTCCATACCTTCATTTGGAAAGATGTACTATTTCTTTATGGCAGGAACCCTCAGCCAGAGGTGTAAGGATCCTCGGGCTCTGAAACCTATGGTTTTTTGTTTTTTCCTCCATTACCTTTCCCACTTTTTCCCCCAATCATTTCTTAGGTTCCTGTCCTGGGGCCCCGAAACAATTCTAAGAGGTAATAACCTATCCTTCCTTCATTCAGTTTGTTCCCAATCCTCTGGATTCCTTTGACCTGCCACCCCTACACAAGTGTACACCTGACCAGGCAATCCAGGCTGGGTTTCCCCAGGATCCACTAGCATGAATCTGTTCCCCTCCTTCCTATCACACACACACACACACACACATACACACACACTGGTCCCCATGTGACCTATTTTCATTCCTCTCCTTTCTGCTAATTTTCTACCTAACTATATACAACTATTCTGTCTCCCAAGTGACTTTGGCACTGATTCTAGTAGTATTTGGCAATAAAGAGTTTCATTTATTCTACCCAGAATAAGCAAAATCATTCAGCTGCTTCCTCAGAATTCCATTCCCTTCCCTTCAGAGGTCATGATGGAAAATGAGAATACTTTGTGGGAACAAAAAAGGAAGCAGTTTGATAATTGGATATACTGTACCTCCTCAGCAGGAACCAGGGCAGTTTAATAGGCAGGACAGAGTGAAAGGTGTGAAAAAGATACAATAGATAGGCAAGAGAATGGTAAGGGTTTAATGATAGTGACCATCAGTTTTACCTCCTTTTTTATGCTTTTAAATTCCCAAAGTTCTATCATCATAGTCAAAATATTAGGAAAATAAGGCTATAGGTCCCAGAGGGAATATGAGAGGTGGGATCTTGGCTATTTTTCCTAAAACTTTAGTACAGAAACCTCAAGAATTCTTGCCAAGCATTGTAGGTTGGAGTTAGGGAAAGTGTTTAGCTATCTGCTTCTCAACACATTTCTATCATCTTTTTTTCCAGCACATCAGAAGAAGAAGAAGAAGAAGAAGAAGAAGAAGAAGAAGAAGAAGAAGAAGAAGAAGAAGAAGAAGAAGAAGAAGAAGAAGAAGAAGAAGAAGAAGAAG